GATCGTAACAGTTAAATCACAGGAGACATTAGAACACAGGTGTAGCACAGAGCGTCAAACGTACTGAATAAAAAGGATGAGAGTGAGATCAGCATCGCGCCGCCGCGGGGGGCCCCGTTCCGTCAACATCACTACTAACACAAAACGCTAGAGTGAGGCAGTATTGTTATCGCGATCCAGCTTTTATCTGCGCTGCCTGCCCCTGCCCCCCTTCTTAAATTCTGGGAATAAGTGCCAAACAAGTCCCATACATTTTTCTTATACCACTGTTAGTCGAACTTACAAGAAACTTTTTGATGCAGAAAAAAAATTCCAAAATAGCGCTGCGATTTCAAAATTACGTGACTTTTAGAATAAAACTGTTTGTAGTTTCATACTTCAATCATTCGCTAATAATAATAGTGAAAAAAAAAATGAAAATAAACCCTAAACGCGGCACCTGTCGTTGAAAGTTTGACGAAAGTCATACTTTTTCAAAAAAGCTGATTTTTGGTTTTAACGCAAAGGTTACACGTTTTTTTGTCAGGTCTGTACCGCAATTGAGAGGTCATTATCTAAGGTATCTCCCATTGCAATTTTATTAACATATTCTGGGACACCCTGTATAGTATACATTTTTCCGTCAAAGCAATTTAGACGTGTATTTTGATTTTCAGTAATGTAACACAGTTGGAATTACTGAATGTCGTAGTGAACGACTTGTGTGAGGTTGGTAATATTGATGTTGTTGGCAACAGTTCCCAAAACAATACGAACCATTCAAGAAAGAAAGGGTCGGAGCAATTCGCATGGAAAGAAATGGACCCATTATTGAAAAAGGTATCTGACTTCTTAAGCAGATTGATTTTTGTTATAAATAAATATATTTCTTTTTCTTTTCTACTAATTTTCATATTTAAAACGTGTCACAAAATATTTTGAAAGTACACAAAGAGCAGTGTGTAAAAGTGACAGGTACATTGCCGTGCTATTCTTCCTTCAAACTTTGAGTCTGCAAGTTTTGATATACTGAGAAAAAAAATAAGTAAACCAATAAAAAATTTAATTCAGCCAATTAAAAAAAACTAACCATGTGATAGCTGTTTGAAACTACAATTTCTTAAAAAATTAGGTGAATCTATAAAACTAGTTTAATTAAGACAAAACACAATCGTTTACTTGAATTTATTGAATCGTTTACTTGAATTGATTGATTACTTGAAATTAATGAACTATTAAAATGAGTTTATCTGCTCTAAGTAACAAAGATTATATTCATTATTTGTTTAATTAGTTTAGGTAAAGGTGTTGGAAAACGTCATATTTATATTTGATCTTTTCGACTCAAAATAAAAACTTCCGAATTTTATACCTATAACAAAATTTGATTTTTTATTTACATTAACACTAAAATTTTTTGTTTTAAATTCAGAAAGAAGGGAAAGGGATATCTAAAACTGAATAAGACCACTCGATGTCTACAAAAATTGCACTTTTAACAATAGAAGATTATTGCCCTTTAAACAAAATAGGATATTTTCAAATACTACAAAGTCTGCACAACAGGAGGCTCCACTTCATATACAGGGTTATCCAAATTCAGTTTCCACCATTAGTAACTTTGTTATTAGTGAAAATACAAAGTTGTTTGAATTAGCAAACTAGTAGCATTTTTAACGCTGGTAAAAATGAGAAATAAAAAAAAACAATTGAGAGTCGTTATTTTGATTTTTTTCAGTAAAATAACATTTTTTTAAATGGAAACCCCTGTATATTATATTTTTTTCTGTTAAAGCATCAAATTTTAAACAAAAAAGCTTACAATAACTTTTCTCCTAGGTTACAAATTGTTGAAGTTATGGCCTCCAATCTGAAACAATTAAATTGTATCGACAAACTTTATTTTCAACATCAACTTATAATCTTACAAAATACAATAACAATTTTTTTAAAGAAGATGCTCGAAAACACCACCTTGTTCTTCAATACATTTTTGGGCACGTTTTTCAACTGCTCGAACTGTCTTAAGTATGGTCCTACCATCTATCTGGGTTATCTTTTCCCTAACTGCAGTCTTTAACGCGTCAAGGTTATCGTACCTTCGCTTGTAAATTTGGTTCTTTAAGTAACCCCACAAGAAGTAATCAAGTGGGTTTAGATCTGGTGATCTGGGAGGCCACTGTATTGGGCCATTTGTTCCTATCCACTGATCATTAAAAGTAGTACTTAGAAAATGATAAGTACCTCTGGAGTTGTGGGCAGGTGCGCCATCTTGCTGAAAATGCAGATGATGTCTACTTATAAGATCCAATTCGTCTAAGAAATTAGTCAGAATTTCTGACATAAATTCCACATATCTTTTACCAGTTAGGGTTCCCTCATAAAAGAACGGGCCAACAATTTTTGAACCAATTATACCGCACCAAACGTTGAAACTGAAACAGACTTGTGGGCCTCTTGGATGTACTAACAAAAGATTTTCTCTTGACCAATAATGGTGGTTTTTTCTATTAAACATTCCAGAATTTGAAAAATTTGATTCATCTGTTCATAAAAGGTAACGAAAGTTATTTACATTTTGGCGACAGAAGCTAAGATACCAATGGCAAAAAACAAGTCTTCTCTCTGGATCCCCTGCCAAAAGCGTTTGAACTGGTCGGTACTTATACGGAATAAATTTGTATTTTTTTAAAATCCTTTGAACAGTACCATAACTGAAATTAGAGTCCTTGAGAATATCTGCTATTGAATTCTCACGATAAGCTTCAAAATATCCAATAACTGCAATTTCCGTGGCCTCGCTTATTATGAATTCTTTTTTTGCCCTTGTTTTAGCAAAAACATTTTCGTTGCCCCTAAACTTTCGATAAAGTCTCAGAAAATATCGTTCATACGGTTGAATGCGAGCGGGATATAATTCACTGTAGTATTCTCTTGCTCTCAAGGAGGATTTTCTACACACTAAATAGCATTCTAACATATCACACTTTTCTTCATGGGAGAACATTTTTCTTTAAATTAATGACACAATAAAGCTTATAAACAAGTATTTACACTAATGTTTGACATTATTTGATTTTATCATTGTTTTCCAAAGCCTTCTAGTTGCGAGTATGTCCAGTTTAACAATTTGTCGCTTATCTTAATGCTGTCAAATCGCGAACGCCATGTTGTTTTCATAGCCGTCTTAATATTATAATACTGCAAATAATTAAAAATATTTATCGTTATTTTGACTTTATTTTTGACTTTAGCGGAAAAGTCATTATGAACTTTTTTGTTTAAAATTTGATGCTTTAACAGAAAAAAATATAATATACAGGGGTTTCCATTTAAAAAAATGTTATTTTACTGAAAAAAATCAAAATAACGACTCTCAATTGTTTTTTTTTATTTCTCATTTTTACCAGCGTTAAAAATGCTACTAGTTTGCTAATTCAAACAACTTTGTATTTTCACTAATAACAAAGTTACTAATGGTGGACACTTAATTTGGATAACCCTGTATACAATATAAAAAGAAAGCACATCAATCCTACGTTAAGCACATGTTTGGTATAAATGTCCTTCATTGTCCTAAAGATGGCTGTATAAATTAAATTTCAAAGTTCTCCCCACTCCAACACGTCAGCAGTGACTCTCCGATACAGAGTGTTTCATCGGGAACGAGAGATATTCTACCCATGGTTATGGGTATTTCACTTAACCCACATAACTGATCCACCTCGCAGCTACTACAGCAACAAAGGCAACATTCGAATATGTGGCTTCTTACGAAAATAACAAATGAAACTAAGAAGTTCGAAGCGCATCACCTGGACCGAGTCCGCGATTTAAATAAACAGTTTAACTGTTTTTGTTAAAATGTTGGTTTCAAATAAGCCTTTTCTACAAAAACTAAATTACCTAAACTAATTGAACATTTCATTAAAAAAATTAAAAAAACTCATTACGGTTCATGAAAATTTTCCAGAAGAACTCTTTTACTGACCACGTTTTCTCAGTGGACTAGTGAAGCAAGAACAAGCTCAGGATTCCTCTTAGGAAAGGAAGCCTGCCTCTAGGCAGTGGATGTATTGCAATTCCTAATGTATCAGTCTTATTTTTCAGATAGGAATGAGCTGCCCATATATTCTTAAAGAATGCAAGTGGTCAAACCAAAAAAGAGATTGTGGAACTTTATTCAAACCTTATTTAACTGACGATGGATTATGCTGCTCCTTTAATCGGATGCCTCGTGATTTCATATATCGGACGAGGTAAGTTTTTGAAGTATATAGAAAGATATGAAGATGTCTTCTATAGCCTGGATCAGCTTGATATACTTTCTTGATCGAATATATGAGTGATGAAATCAAACAGATCGGACTCCATTGAAATTTGTTGTTGTAGATAAAAAAGCTCTAACGAAACAATTCTACACTAAAGTTCCATTTCACAATTATTCTAAACATTGATAGGTCCTTGCACTGTCCACCCAGTAGTTTTTTAAATTTCTATGTCGCCTTCAATAACTGGCATGTAAAAGTGGTATCGAAAGTTTGTCTGTATAAGGTTTATCGTCAAAGCTATTATTCACCCTTACAGTCCAATTGTTTGTTTTTTTTTAATTTTAGAACCGTTTCGCAAATAGGCCATCATATAGATTTCAACATAGATATTTCTACCTTTGTTACCTTGTATCTTAGTCGCTCGTTCCGCCATGTGGGAAAATGGAGAGCCAGAAACAGCATTTTCACAATACTTCAGCCACAACCCTCCCTAAGAACCTTATGCTTTCATGCGAAATCCTCCATTTCCAAAGCATTATTGGCCAATAACGGCTTTCCAATTCATTTCATGTGGAAGAATCTGCCTGAGGACGCTTCTTTCAGTTCTGCTAACTCTAGGTAGCTCGAAAATCGAATTAAGACAGTGTCTGTCAGCAAAAATGTCATCGGCGGTACCCCGCCGGTATTTAGGCTTCTGTCTACGCGGCAGCTCTGGTATTAAAACATTATGAAAATAGCATTCACGTCATGTATCAGAGGAGTTAACCGATGGAATATTCAGTATATTCGAGATGAGTACTAAGTACGGTCGAACTCTGGCGCAAGCATCTACAGCACTTTTACCAGGTGCTGTTTCATTATTATTGTTATTAACTCTTTATTTCAATAGGTACCGTAATGACTATCAGCGTCTAGGTTCAGATAAAGAAGATAACGTTTATGACTGGACCTCAGAAAGGGGATATTTGAATAATGAGGATTCAGACAATATCGTACCAAGGAGATCGAAAGGTAGGATAACAGTTGACAGAAGGTCACATTGCAAACAATCATAAGAATTACAAATTAGTATAATCAGACGCATATTAGAAGACAGTCAACAATCAAAACAAAACCGTCCTGCAATGGTTTTCTTGGCGGAGACAAAAACCTCAGAGTCTGCACCAATTAATCATCTTAGCTTCCCAAATTACGAGGTGCACTCACGTCCCTCAAATTTATTTGCTGTCTTTATCGCTCTCCCTCGGACCATAACTGGGATGAACTACTTGAATACCTCGCTGTCAAGATCGACTTCCAGAACATCAATCACTCCGCTTCAGAAGTAGTTCTCCCCTGTGATTTCAATGCCGATAATGAGCTTTGGTTGGGCACAAACAAGACCGATGCAACAGGTCGTGTAGTTGAAGCGTTGTCTATTACCCAAGGACTGACCCAGCTGGTGACGAGCCCTACTTTCTTTCCAAGCGTTTCGTCTCCACGCATCTCCCCTGGGTAACTCAGATCACGGTGTTGTGGAGGTTAGGTTTCGGTCAGAACCGACACGATATAAAACTTGGGAACAGGGTAATGTCGGTCTGTCTGGGCGCTAGCCAAACAGATTGAAAGGAACTTCTCCCACTTACGTGTCAGGATGGAACGATTGTAACCGACTCAAACGATAAGGCGGAAGTGCTCCCTACACTAAGCGGAAAGTAACATTCAGGCATAAGATCGTAGGATGGGTGCCCTTGAGAGGTATGAATAAAAACGAAGTAGATGCTTATACTACAATTTTAAGAATCTACTTCAAAGTAAATACTTCGCCATGAAGTATCCAATCAGTTCCGGTAGTATTTGCTTTACGTCGAAGTACTTACTATCGTGCCTGTAGTATCTACTTTTATTCCGAAGTAAATGCTTTAAATTGAGTAGCATCTTCTCATTTCCACAAGTTTCGACAGGTCACACTTTTTTTTTTTTTATTTGAAATATTCACATACTTGGTATTGTACGGCACGCGCGTTAAAATGTCTTCCGACGAGGAAATGCCAAATCAAGAAGAGTCCCAAAATGAAGATTTGCAGTTAGCCTTTGTTACGATGTTAGAAGACTACAAAATTATTCTGGATAAAAAAATGACACCCTCCGTTAAGTCTGCCAAAGACAAAGCACTTAAAGAATTCACAGAGACGTATAACAGAAATACAAAACAAAATTTAGATGCAAAACAGGTATTAAAAAAAGTTAATAATATGAAAAGTAAAATTAAAAATATTACCGATATGAAGAAAACAGGAAATAGGAAAATTAAGTTAAATGAGTGGAAAAAAAAATTTTTCAACCTATGGAATGGGAGTGAGAATCCAGTAATTCAACAAGTGCCAGGTACTGTATTATTTGATATTATATATTTTTTCTTCAAACGTCAGTAAATCATTTATTGCTTGACTTGTATGCGGCCACGAAGTTTTATTTTTCATCAGCCGGAGCTTCACTTTTTACTTTTCTGCGATTAATTTCTTGACATTTGAAGAAAAACAGCATATTTTACTTGGAGGAAAAGTTAATTTTCATGGCTGTCTAATTCAGGCTCGTCATAAAATTACTTTTCCTCCATATAAAATCATAATACTATTGTGGTGCAAAATTTTTAATTTAATAATGTTTTAGGAGGTGTAACTGCGGGCACCAGTCAAGACGTTGATATATCATTGACCGATGAAGAGAATCAAATACCTTTTTGTGATGATAAAGAATTAATGGCTAAATTACGAAAGAAATTACTACTTCAACAAATCAACACTGCCGCAGCTCAAGAAAAAGCTGCTATAGCTCAAGAAAAGGCCGCTCTAGCTGTCGAAAGGGCCGCAAGAGCTGTAGAGCAATTCGTAGAAGATTACTTTGCACGACAACAGGCGAGCTTTTGAATTCATTTGGATTCAAAAATACCTACTGATTAATATGTTTTTTTTTTGTTAAAAGAGAAATAAGGTTTATGTTTATTATTTGTATAACATGTTTATAGGGTTTAATTATTTTGTCAGAACCTTCATAAAATAAATATGTATAAAATCCAAACAATCCAAATATTTATTTACTTTTTCAACGCTGTCTGTACATTAGTGTTGCAATTTCATTTCTAAACTGGATACCTCGGCGTCGGACTTCACCGTTGTTTGGTTCGGCATATAATTCAGGCATAACTGCTTCTTCTTCTATGTTCATTTCATCAAAATGTTCATCTGGATCGTTCAAAAACTTTGCACAATTATGTAAAATAAATGCACACATAATATATCGACATGTTCTATCTGTTTTAAGTCGGATTGTATAATTCAACATAGGAAATCTTGTTTTTAACTGGCCAAAGCATCTTTCTATAATCACACGTTCTCTTGCATGTATTCTGTTAAAGTACTTTTGAATGTTTGTTATGGGATCTTTGAAAGGTGTAAGCATCCAAGGAGTTACACCATATCCAGAATCACCCAAAAGACAAACTCTTTTTTGATTATTATACATAATAGGGTAAATAGGACTATTGTACCATATTCTAGAATCATGAACAGACCCAGGCCAGGAAGCATCAACACTGGTAAACATTTCTCTGCTATTACATGTTGCTTGTACATTTATTGTAGAAACTCCTTTTCTGTTAATATATTCATCGCCATGTACATATGGTTTTATAATTTTCACGTGAGTGCAGTCAATGGCGCCAATGACATGAGGTATTGTATTATGTGCTGTCCATTCATCTTTAGCTCTGTTGAACATAGCTCCCGTAGCAGGGAATTTAACCCACTGATTTTTCTTGCTACAGATTTCACGTGATACCTTATCAATAATTTTTGAAACGGTTGTTTGATGAATCCCAACATCAAGTCCAACGCCTAGCTGAAATCCAGGGTCTCCTGAAATAAAGATATAAAAATTAGATTATTTATCCTATTTCATTTATTGAAACATACCTAAGCTTCTTAAAAATACTTCCATTTGTTGGATGTGTGTAAGAGCACCGCCTCGAGTTTCATTTACTTCTGGGAGAAATATATTCGCTAGGTAAGATACGTTTTCTCTACTAAACCTAAAAGAATAAACAATTTTAAAAGTAATTAAAAACAATAATAATATTATTGTTAAATTACCGAAATATTTTATGATATAAAATATCATTATGATAGCGGCGTCTTGCATTATATATTTTTATGCTGCGTATTCCTTCCATTTTCAAAGAAAACTAAACAAAACTAACCGTAGTATTCTCTCTGAAGTTGCACTTATACCAACTTCGCAAAAGTCAAGCATATACTAAGATCCTCTTCAAATTAGTAGCATCTACTACAAGAAGTAGGTACTTTCAGTAAATACTACTTGATATAGTAAGTTACGGTAAAACAAAAAGTATCTACTTGAAAATGTAGCTTCTTCTCAGATTTGAAGTACATACTTTGTAGAAAATGCTAATACTTGTAGTATTAGAAGGTACTTCATTTTTATTCATACCACCCCTTGTCGCTCATTTCAACAAAGCTTCTGGTCCGGACTTGATTCCTGCCGATGTATTGAAGAGGTGTGCAGCGGAGCTTGCACCAGTTTTTTCGCGTCTCTTCCAGATATCTTACGAATCTAGAAAGCTGGAAATTTGCTCATGTCCAACCCATCCCAAAAAAAAAGGATCTAAGACCGACCCTTAAATCTATAGGTTATGTGTAAGGTGATGAAGACGTGCATAAATCGCGAGCTTCTGGACTACCTCGAACGTCACGACTTGATTAGCGACAGGCAGTATGGTTTCCGGCACCAGCTTACGTCACGCAATTGTGGAGTAAACTCATCCAGTCTTGTGGTAAGGGCTCATGTCGTTGCTCTTGATATCACGAAATCATAATTGACCGGTTCTCCTCTTCATCCCATTCTGATTGGTCTTGGCTCCGACACTGTTCCCCTTACATATTAACGCTATCACTGCTCTTGTACAGTTTAATAGTTCCAAAATTCACTACGGTACCTTGACGAACAAAACGGGTCCTAGCGCTCATCCGGTTTCGATTGCCGGTCTAGTTCTGCCAAAGAGCAGTTCATTTCGGCTGGTCGGAGTCCAGATTACCGAGGACTTGATCTACCATGAACACATTTCGCCAACAGCGGCAGATACTGGGAAGAAGCTAAGCTATTTGTTTAGGGCTAAGAAGTACTTTACTCTTCATGACCTCCTCACTCTATACAAGGCCCAGATAAGACTTAGCCTTGCGTATTGCTGACAGCCGCCCCGACTCCATTATTTAGACTCGATGTTGTCCAGAGGAGGGTTGTCCGACTGATCGATGACTCTTCTCTAACAGACAGTCTCGGGACTCTTTCGCACCGGCGGGCCGTCGGTGATCTAGCTCTCTTCTACCGCTACAACAACTGGCTTTGCTCCTCAGATCTCTCCTCAATTATGCCGCTGCGCGATGTGCCTGCCAGACAGACCCGCCTAACTTCGACCTCCTATCCTAAGCGTGCCGAACCTCGTACTTCCAGAAATGGCCGATATGACCGCTCCTTTGTTCCGAGCGTGTCGAGATTGTGGAACAAACTACAAAAGGAACCTTTTTCCACTTCTACTAACCTACTAACCTTGGCGTTTGGGCTTCTGCCTAAGAAACAAGAAAATTTCTCTCGTAATTTTTGGGTTCTGTTGATGCTAGAAGAATAAATACCTGGCGAAATCACATCTGTCGGCCTGACAGTCGTTTTTCCTGTAAGATGTAGACACTCCAAAACTCAGGATTTTGATAAATTCTTCATGCAAGGTTACTACTACCTCGCCAAGGAAGGTAGTGCTTTATAGGTTTTGAAAATCAATTCGATGGCACAGAGGAGTTATGAGCGAAATACAAACAAAAAATATGTACGTGCTCAAGCTATGGTCACTTCAGGGGATATTCCAAAACATTTTCAGGTGGGTCAGAATTAAAAAAAGTCAGAAACTTTCTACGTTTTTCAACATCCTAGTCACATTAGGCGGTGACTAAAAAAGATTATTTACATGGTAGATACTTTTGATGAAAAGCGGTAATGGGTCAAAAATATTAATTATCTAATTCCTTTTTTAAAAACTGGTTACCATCATATTTCTACATGGTATTTATAATTATTAAATGCTAAGCGTTTCATTTTTACCAGAGGCAGGCATGCACTCAGGATTAACGTTTATTCTGGATGCTCATGTCGATAACTATTACTGTTCCTCTACTGGGAGTGCAGGTTTCAAGGTTAGTATAACAAAAAACCACCACAATTTCTGGATAAGTGATTTGTCTCCCATTTTACAGTCTTCTGTAGACCATCTTTGTGTTACACTATTTGACTGTATCAAAATGTTCATCATAGCCCAGTCAGTTAGACATGACTTGTGAAACACAGGATATTGATTTGCAATGATTGTTAAATCATAAACATATAGACATAAAAAAAATTTCAGAGTTGTTGTTATTTGATTGGATAATGCGATAGCTGTGAAAAGATATTTTTCCATTTAAAACATTCAAGTATGGAAATAATTAGACTCTATATGGCTGGAATTTAACAGGTATTGGCGACATCACCGATAGATACACCAATAGTAGGAGAATATGCGCACCTATTGAGTCCTGGTGTAGAAGCAAGATTTTTTGTAGATCCAGTAATAGTTGCAGCACAAGAATCTCTTAAAAATGTACAAATAGAGAAGAGAAGATGCTATTTTGACGGCGAAAAGGTTCTTTCGCATTATAGGTAATATAACCCCAAGCCACAGAACCTTACATGGTCTTCTAGAATAACATCCAATGCTCTCATATACGTATACTATAGTAAGTTTCTATAAAAAATATCCTGCGAGGCTTTCTTAAGAAGATGCAGGTCTATAAAGGTCGCTACTAAAAAGTGGTTTTTCTTAAATAGCTTTTGGCACTGTGTAATTCAACAAATTTTACAAGCTTCATAAGCAGTTGAAGCTCTACTTGACGCTATCATAAGAAAACAATTGGGTCATTTAGACTGAAAGGCACAGACTAAACTAGACTGACATATAATAATGACTCAAAGAAAAAATTTTTTTTGAAGCCCTAATGATTAATCTGAATACTTCTATTGTTTGATTCGTTAAAATGAGTATTTTTTTAAAGAAGCAACATTGTTTCAACGCTCTATTATTCCTACCGTTTTACATTATTTCCCAAAACTTTCGACAAAAATCCAAAAGTGACCTCAAAATTCATATCTCGCGCTTTTTCAAGTAGCTGATTATTATTCTGGTATTATGATTTCTATATATTGACTGTTTTGAAATAAGAGTTTTTCTAAAAAATGGTACATTTTATCGATGTACATTTTTTCGCCTTAAAACTAAAGTTTTTCAAAAATATTATCCTGGAGCTGTTATTATACAGGGTGAGGCCCCAACTGGTTATTAAGCTAACTCGTTCAATTCTAGCGTTGTTCAGAAGATATTTCGATTTCCAATAGCGCACTTTAGCAGCTGGTATCTCCGTAAGGGCGCCCTAGAAGAAATATTTATAGGGACTTGTGGCATCATATTTTTGTGTTTCATATACATTTGAGAGGTTGTAATGCTATTCTAGAGTACCGTGTATACACACAATGCATCAAAAATGACCAAAGGTACTTTATTCTGTTATTTCTTTGGGAAAACATTTTCGATTGTCATTCTCCATAGACGTATATTCTCGTAAGGAAAGCTTTTATAGCAATTTGTCGCATTGATTTTTTTCGCGTTTGTCACATTGAGCTGTGCTTTTGATTAACGTATTCTACCAGAACATTCCCAACCTAAAACGATATTCCCGCATCCAGAAAATCATCCGAGATGAAATAAGATGCCGTAGCATCATCTATGAGAATTTATCACAGCCTCTCCCCACTAATTAGAAATCGATGGTTGTACTTAATGACACTAATTTTATTTATTACTTGTAGGCATTACTCTAAATCGAACTGTAAGCTAGAATGCGAAATGAACGAAACATGGGCACAGTGTCAATGTGTAGATTACTATATGCCAAGTAAGTACCGATAGCTGAAATATAATCTTAAGAAACAGATATTAGAATATAGAATGTATGGTAATATTTTTATTTGTTTTATGCTGATCTTCATGGTTTATAGGGCTTCCAAGTGAAAAATATTGTAAAGATAAGCAGCTGCCATGTGTGAACAAAATAAGAAGACAGCTTGTCGAACAGTAAGTGCACTTTCAGCAAAATATATTTATGCTTTCACTTGCACTTAAAAGTACATTTAATATCAATTCCATCTAAATAGTGTCATCCCTCTTAGATGTATACAATTAAGAGTGTCTATGGTGGTGTTAAGATCAGATTTCCGTGGAGCGATGTTGCGTCTATAAAAGTGTCCAAAGTAATTCGAATAACGTTGTTCGATTTTAATTTTGAAACTTCAAATTGTATAACTTTTATTGCTTGTGGCGGTCAAATTATTCATGTGTTGCCAGCTAACTTGAAGTTATTTTTTTAAAAAATATGCTCCCTTCCGTTTCGGTATCAGAACATAAGTTTGTATAAGAGCGTACGTAGCACGTACCAAAAGTTCTCGTCCTGACAAGTTTAAGCTTGTTCAATTGCTGGTTCGCTTATACTCGCAGATGATGTATTGTCTCAATAGTCACATACGTAATTTGTGCCTTCCTACTTGCTGCTGTTATGCTTCTGTTTTCTTTTAAGTACAAAAATGCTTTTGTCAGAAGGGCAATTGACACAGCACATCAAGTCCAGATTGGAAGAAATGTACATCTATACTTCACCTCCCTACTGAACAGTGAAAGAATAGTCAAAAAAGTTTCGCTTTGGATATGCGTCCCTTAAAGATGATGCTCGACCTAGTAGGCCGCCTGACACAGTCACTCAGGAACAAATCGATCTTGAGGAAATTTATACAATTTCGCTTTCCGAAACAACCATCTGACGGATTATTCACGATCATAATTAGTGATTAAATTAGTGCGCTATGCTGGATTCTTAAACTACCCTCATCAATTCAAGACAAGATCATGCGCATGCGTCATTTTTGTCAGTCAGTGAAAACAACCCTAAAGGCACCTTAGAAACGATTCTAACAGAAAATGAAACGTTTGTTCTCTAAGTGATCCTCATTCAAAATCAATCAATATAGTCACTTTTTTGGGATGGCAAGAACATATTACTATGAAATTCTTAAGAACTTAACACTGCTATGACTGCCGCCTAAAACGCTAGTCTTCTGACAACTCTCAAAAAAAAGTCGAACAATCCTGACCCTGACCAAAGGCTTGCGCTGATTGCATGATAATGAATGTACCTGGGACAGGTAAGCTTTTACACAAAGTTATCTCTTGCCGAATCTATGAGTACATAGCGCGTGAATGATGGCGATCGACGATCCACAGCAATCGAGCAACACCGACCGACTGCTACATACATGCATTCGCCGGACCGCAAGGCACGCATTATCGACACGCGAGGGTCAGAAATAGTTCTCAATCGTTCTAAGTTTTAGGGTTATCTCTAATAGGTGAAATATGTCTAATAGGTGCGTTGAATTACCGCGGCTGGAGGCGTGTAAGTATATATATACATAGCGCTACAGGCCTGAAAGGCCCAAGACTTTACTTGCAATTTCTTTCCATTTCTTCTTATTTTGACACATGAATTTCCAGTTTTGTACACCTAAGCTTCTCAGATCAGCTTCTACTTCGCTTTTCCATCCTTCCTTCGGTCTCCCTCTCCCCTTCTTGCCTCCTATGCTTCTGCTAACAATCATTTTTGGAATCCTATTTTCTACATGCCCTAACCATTTCAACCTTTGTGCTCTTATAAATCCTGTGATACTTGATTCTTTATACGTATCTGCAAGGTCTTGGTCTTGGTTTGTTCTTCTTTCCCATACCCCATTGTTCTGTTTCACTCCAAAAATGTTCCTTAATAACCTTCTTTCCCACACATCTAGGGTATTTATATCTGTCTTCCTCAAGATCCATGTTTCACAAGAAAATGTTACTGATGGTCTTATTACTGTTTTATATAATTCAATTTTTAGTTTATTACTTATCAACTTGCTTTTCAGGTTATATAAACATCTATTTCCCTTCCCCAGTATTGCTTTGATTTCTTCCCTTGTGCCCGGTTTTCTTGTGAATGTTGATCCCAAATGGACAAGTTGATCAACCTCTTCAAAATTATATATTTTGCCACTGCCTGTTTTTACCTTTATGCTGTCTCATATATTTAGTTTTTTCCTGATTTATTATTAGACCCTTTTCCTTTGCTTTCTCTTTAAGTGTTTTTAGTACTTGTATCAATTCTCTTTTGCTTCTAGCAACAATTGCAATATCATCTGCGAACGCTAAACATTGGTGCTTTCTATTGTATAATAAACCATTCCTATTTAAATTTGCTGCTCTGATTATAAGCGTATAAGTATACCAATGCCAAAAAATTGAGACATTTCCTCCATACTCTTGTACCGTCATCATGTGTGCCCAAACAGAATCTGGACTCATCGCTGAACACGACTGAGTTCCATTCCATAGTCCATTCAAGTCTCTCCCTACTCTATACAACTCGTTGCCGACGTGCCGACGATGCTGTGGGGTCAGAGGTAGTACAAGATGGGGGCAGTATGAAAACAGTCCAAAAGACCTTATTCGGCGATAAATTGTCATCAAACCACTGGTTCGCAACTGGCCTTGTTGTGGAAAGTGCTAGCTGCTTCAAATAACGATCATGTCGCTCTGTAGCCTTTTTGGAATCACGCTCGATAACATCTCATTACAGTAGCCTCGTATCGGTTCACCCGATTAGCGATTTCTCTTATGCCCTCTCCAGACTCACGCGCGAAGCAGCGAACTACCCGCGACCCATGAGTGTAGATCCCATTCGCGTATTCTTCGCGGCTTCATGTCGCGTTCGCGCGTTGTTCCCGTTTGTTGACGGTTTTTTGTCCCGCGACAAAGGCTTCGCAAGGCGCGAATATATCACGAACATGACTAGGCTCCTCATCCGCTGGTGTTTCAGTTGCCTCATAGCGAGTGCCGGGAATGGTTGTGTTTTTTCCACTTCTTTTCAATTGTTTTAGTTTTACTTATATATGCGTAATTATAAATTGCCAAAGCGCAAAGTAGCCCTGCAGCATCAGTAGCAATATCACAATCTATACTCGTCAAGAGCGCGAACTATACTATGAAGCAGGCGCGAACATCTGCGAGTGTGGAACTGTAGGAACAAATTTCGGGATTTGCATCGCGATCCGCGCCGCGATTTCACGCCTTGATCCGCGCGTGAGTCTGGAGAGGGTATTAAAGAAAATCCGGCTTCACGTAACCCGATTATCCGACCCCTCTCAAACTCGGAAAGTTGAATGGAATTGGCGCGTCTGCGAACTCTAGGCTTGAAAATGCAATGGAACAACAATGAAACAAATGGCACCAACACAGAAACATCACTGAATATTAATCAAACATGTTCATATTATTAGGATCCTGATACGACAAAAAAATCTTTTACCAAAAAAGTACGGCTCGGAATGCCTTCAACATTTTATCAGTGTAAAATCAATAAATAATTCTGGGTGTTGCATTTTATATGTCACTTAGTATAATTTATTATAACTCCAATAATTTAATTATTAAAGCATAGAAGTACTTATCCGTTGCGACAAAAAGTACACAGTCACACACACAGTCAGATAGTGAAAAATAAAATATCTTTATTACCGTACGTTGTTTCTTTTTCATTTAAGGACATGTCCTTTTGGCGGTCCCTACGTATTTACATCGAGGTAAGCCCCTTATTGCAAACTAATCATGATTATTTGTTTCAGTGACAAATGCAAGTGCTACAGTGCATGCTATGATATTTCTTATGGAATTACAAAATCATACGGAAAAATACTACCGTACGATTTTAGAAAGCAAATCAATACTCCGATAAATGTTACACCGTGAGTACCTTTTTTGGCTAATTATCGAATTAATCAATACTCCGATAAATGTTAACACCGTGAGTACTTTTTTGGCTAATTATCGAATTAACGTTTTATGTCGTGTATCAATAAATAATTTCTCTCGTTAGCATACACGAGCGATGTCTTTTAAGTTTTGCTTATAGAAACATAGTAGGCCGCGCGGATCGAACGTCAGTACTGAATCTTAACCTCACTCTTTAGTAAACTTAAATTCAAAGTTTCACAACAATACGTGTTCTCACTACAGTGAATTTTTAAGTGTCACCAAGTCATTAGAAAAATAGAACTCAACCGAGAACATTTTCGCGCCATAATTTATTACAACTTTCAGAGACAATAATCAAATCCAAGCGAATAACCAAAATTTCTATGTTATGTGCCGCGGTTATAATATGGTTCAAGATGACACACGGGTTGATGACGTCAGTTACACGAATCGCTTGAACGCGTTGGTTTTAACCGCGGTTTTGTTGCAAGTTGTTTATTTTAGAAAAGCGCGTATATAATCTCTGATTATTTTTATTATCACTTAATAATCGGTGCTTTTTCGTCTACAACTGTATATGGAAAGTTTAAATAAGAAACCTTTCATAATATTCATGGGAGAAATGTTTTTTTCAGATTTTTTTTTTTAATGATGAAACCATGGCTTTGTAGCTATGATAACTTTCAATTCTCTAAATTTTTCCGCATGTCAAAGAAAACATTTATTGATTCAGCAGAAATGATGAAAAAAGAAATTATCAAAACCGTATACAGGTGGATATCATCTAGTGAGTTTATATGGCCATATTTTAATATTCTTGTGGTATATGGCTACACAGGATACTTTGTTAAGCATAGGAACTACATTTAAAGTGTCCCCAACAACCGTAATGAGTATAACTAATAAGGTGCTCCACTTTATGGTAAAACTGAAGTCAGCCTGTATCATTTTTCTCAAAAATGAAGCTGAAGTACAATAACAATATCCAATACCCGGCAAAATTCTAACTTGTCACATTTCAAATAATAACCAGTAATATAAAACTACTCTTGAGTTGGGTAAATACCACAATTTTGCGGTGATAACTATGACATATAACAGCTGATTCGTGACGTCACGGATCTTATAACCAAACTGATAACTACACTCGCTTGAACGGATTGGTAAATACCAACCCAAAATGGTAAATACCATTTCGATTTGCTTATCCGCTTGAATTTGATTAATTATCGCCTTTCTGAGTTACTGTCTGTTTTCGGCAACGAAGCGCCACATCAGTCGACAATTTCCCGTTGGTATGGAGAATTTAAACGTGGACAGGCGATTCTTTAAGATGATTCCAGGGTGGGTGCACCAAGAACGGTGGTCACCCAGGAAAACGTCGATGCTGTGCGCAAACTCATCATTGAAGATAGACATGTGACATGTCGCGAGATTGAGGCGTCTTTGAAGATCTGAAAGATCTCAATTCAAAAAATTTTACATGAAGAATTAAGAGTAAGAACATTAGTTTCTCGTTGGATACCCCACCTGTTGACTGAAGAGCAGAAAGCAGCCAGGGTTAATTGGTGTCAAAAAATGCTTGACCGTTTCAATTCCGGAAACTCAAAAAATGTGTACAGCATTGTTAGTGGTGATGAATCGTGGATTTACTGTTATGAACCAGATAATAAACGACAGTCGGTTGTTTGGGTGTTCCAAGGTGAAGAAAAGCCAACAAAAGTCATCCGTTCTCGAAGTGTTTCGAAAAAGATGGTCGCGACATTTGTGTCAAAAGCGGGTTATATTGCAACCATTCCTCTTAATGAACAAAGAACTGTTACTGCGGATTGGTATACCAGCATTTGTTTGCCAAAAGTCATCACCGAGCTTCGAAAAATCAACCGCGAAAGAAGAATCATCCTCCACCAAGACAATGCAAGCTCGCACACAGCCCATAAAACAAGGCAGTATTTAACGGAAGAAAACGTGGAATTATTGGACCATCTCCATATAGTCCCGATCTAAGTCCTAACGAGTTCTTTGCTTCCCCGAAAATTAAAAACAGACTGCGTGGTCAAAGGTTCCAGTCACCAGTTGACGCATTCAAAAATGCCGTTTTGGATCTGCCAGCAAACGGGTGGAATAAGTGCTTCGAAAAGTCATTTAAAACTACCTACCGTGTTGTTTTATTTCCATATGCAAAACTTAAAAGACATCCCTCATAACCTTAGACCTAGTACCTCGGAGTTTTTAAGTCGAAAGCTACTTGATTGTACTGGATGCTGCTTACTAGAATCAAATAGCCATTAGGAAAAACGCTACACTTTCATGTTCTATACGAATGAATGTTTATTACATTGTTTTCAAAATTATTTAAAATGTGTATTTTGATAAGCTGTACAAGGTGCGTGCATTTCAATCCTTTATTTTTCATAAAATATTTTCGTTCCGACTTCTCTAAGCTAGAATAGGGCCCATTCATCACACCATAGCGTTACTGTAGCAATCACATCCAGCACTGTGTCGTTTTGAGTATAGCTCCTCATGTAATTCCCCTTCTTGAATACCCTACTAACTGTATACTGGTTGAAAACGGCTTTAATGTTAACAAAACATGTGTACCTTATTCACGGTTGCTGGACCAGTCCAGGCCAAATCTGACAGCTGTTGCACTATTATTTGGATAAGAAAAATGAGTATAAAAGTTTTGAGCTACAGCAATTTCGAGGACCACTTTTACAATAAAATATAAGTGCATTCATTCATATTTGAATGTCCATAATTTTGCTCTTAGTTCTTTTTATCTCATTGCTGTTAATATTTTAGGGAATCTACGACTATAGTTCACTTCTTTTTCATGAAGAGTAGTTACAATATACTGACCAAATCAGAATTATTTGCGTTCACAGATATAGTTAGTAAGTATTGAAAAACGATCGATTCCTAACTTGATAATAAACGTGCGTATTTTTCAGGTAATATCGGAGGTTTGTTAGGACTTTTTATGGGCTTTAGTATAATGAGCATAGTGGAAATAATTTACTTTCTAAGTTTGAGATTATGGTGCAATTACCACAAAGAAAAAAATATAGAAAAAAGCAAAAATGTATTTTACAATAAGGACTACGGCACCGTATCTGTGGAGTCTTGAAATTCTGTTTCTAATTGTAAACTATATTAAGCCCATCAAATAGATGTGAAACTGTGCACTGTATTTTTGGTATTCATTTCATAGGATAGTACTATGCATTTTTATAATGTATGAGTGCATGAATAAATAAACATATATAAAGTATGTATTCGAACTCTCCTGCATCCCTGTGTATAATTTCGCAAATATTGACGCAATCCTTTATAAAACAGTATACAGGGTCTTTCAAATTCGACGCTCACCGTTGGGATCTCGTAAACTGTAAGATATATGAAGTGGCCTTGAAGAGGGCAAGGTTGCGTGTTTAGGCAATGAACAAAATACTGCTTAGAAAGTTTTGAAATTCATAATACTTCTGGATTGTAACGGAAAAAACCGAATTTGTCCAAAATCGCTTTAATTTTTCCTGACTTTATTTGTGGGATTCCAAAGCAAATTGCACCTCAACATTACCACGTTTTCTCCTCTACCATAAGGCATAATTAGAATTTCAATATGACGTTTCGTCTCTTGTCCTCCCACATCAACTCTATGTTTTCTAATAGACTCCATATTGGATTTTCGCACAGACGAATAGAGTTTTTAATTCTGATTCCAAAAATGTTAACACGACATACATTTACATTGTCAAACCTTAGTTATTTCAAAAAAGCAGAATTTCCTAGGGAGGCTTATTGAAATTATCGGATAGTCATTTGTTTCGCATACCAGATTTATCCCAAAATCATTTTTATTTCTTCCAGACTTTTATTTGAGATGGGATTTAAAAATAAATCGCATGTTGTCATTATTTTCAATTGGACACTTCTTCTTTCTACTTCCATCACTAACTTTGTTCTTTCATATGGACTGCTATACTGGAATTTTGTACATTTAAATGGACTTTCCAGTCCTAAATTCAGTGAAGTATTTCCTTAGTTGGCCATGAATTTGTTGTTGGAAGAAAATTATAAAGACATAAAAAGCTATGGTGAAACCTGAACACAACATGAACATTTTATTGATGTTAATTACAATAATAATCATAAATAAGCAAATGTAAATCATTGCAGATGTTTAAAATGTTGTCCGTCATTTTTTAGGCAGAGCCTGACTTTCCTCTGTGCATTCTTCAATGCTCGATTTATTTCTGTTCTTCTCAGTCTTCCACACTTGGTTGCAATGTTCAATTTGCGGTATGGTCTGGTATACAAAACAAATGAAATCTGGACATTTCAAGGCCTATCTAGGAACTTCTGTTTTTCTGGAATAACTGAGGTTTGGAAATCTCAATGTATGACAAATTATACATTTTTGAAATCAGAATTAAAAACTCTATTCGTCTGCATAAAAATCCATTATGGCGTCCATAAGTTAACGAAACGTCATACTGAAACTCTAATTATGCCATCTTGTAGAGGAGAAAAAGTGGCAATGTTGACATGCAATTTATTTTGGAATTCGATTTCAAATACAGTCAGGAAAAAATAAAAGTGATTTAGGAATAAATCTGGTAGGCTAATCAAATGACTATCCAAAATTCTGGTTTATTGAAATAACTAAGGTTTCTATGCAAAAATCCAATATTGCGTCTACAAGGAAAAATCAAGTTGATGCTGTTGAAGAGATGAAACGTCATATTGAAATTCTAATAATGGCATCTTGTTAAGGAGAAAAAGTGGCTATGTTAATATGCAATTTATTTTGCATTCCCGCTACAAATAAAGTTAGGGACAAATTAAAACGATTTTGGGAAAATTCGGGATTTCTCGTCTCTCTCCGGAAGTACTTTGAATTTTGAAACTTCCTAACCGATTGGTGCAGCACCATCTCTTGGCACAGAGTTGATGCTACCACATACAACAGCACCAGTAGCCACAACATAAGCATCACCAGAGTTTTATAAAGGGCGTCTCAATAAGAGCGCCGGATTTGATTTTCATGACAAATACAATTTCTTTTCGAATTAAGTGTGTATTTATATTTTAACATGAAGAGGAATAGTAACAATTCATGAAATAGGAAATCCGGTAATGGCCACCACGAAATCTCTGGCACAGGTCTTTTCTTAAAATTCTGGATAACGTTTTCGCACAACTGTGGCTCTATTTCGTCCATAATGTGACGTATCTCTTCTTTAAGGCATTCAAATGTGTGTGGCTTGTTCGCATACACCTTTTCCTTCACATAGTCCCAGAGGAAGAATTCCATTGGCGTTAGATCGCACAATCTTGGTGGCCAATTTTGATCGCCAAACCGAGAGATGACACGGTCTGGAAGCTTGGTCCGCAGTAACACCAGGTCGCACCATCTTGTTGGAAGAGCATATCCTCCGCATCAATTCGATCCAACTGGGGCCACAAAAACTCGGTTAATACGCGATACCGCACACCATTACAGTTACCGCAGTACGAAATACGTCACTCCACAATGTACACGAAATGGTAACTCGCGGCGGATGCATTGGTTACTCGATTATTATACGAGGGTTTCGAGAACCCCAAATTCGGCAGATCGGCTTATTGACATAGCCGTTTAGTTGAAAATGTGCCTCATCAGAGAAAATGATTTTCTTCGAGAAATCCGCATCAATTTGGTGGTGCTCCAGCGCCCAATCAACGAATTCACGGCACTGCGCATGGTCCGTTGTCTTGAGTTCTTGGGTCAGTTTTTTACGCATGCAAGCCCAGATCTTTTGTCAAAATTCGTTGCAGAGTATAAGGTTCAATTCTTCGTCACGATGCCTGGATTCTCGGCCACACTTTCCCGCACTGCGACTATATTTTCGAGCAACCGATCAGGATGGTGACGTACAGTGGTCTTCACATTCACCAACGTGAATTTTGTCTCAAATTTTGTAATTAAACAGCGAACTGTCGACTCATTTGGCGCATTATTGCGACCGTAACTTGTACGTAATTTGCGTACTGTTTCCGCGAAATTTTCTCCATTTTTGAGTTTTCACAATAATTAAACGTTGCTCGTTTGAAGACTGCCCCATGACGTCTAACCGCGTGGTCTGGACATGACAACTGTCAACAAGTAAGCACCATACCATTTGTACAAAAAAAAAATGGAGGCAAATTCAAATTCGGCGCTTTTGTTGAGACACCCTTTGGTACGCCAATTTCATCTGATCACTAACAAACCGTATTTCGTTGGTTAAGAAGATAATTAAAACAAGTTAATAATCGATAGTGACTATATTTAACGTATCCACACATATAATTAAGCATTGTTCTTGAAATACTAAATTTTAACAGTTATATAAAAAATAATATAAAAAATTAAATACACTTACGTAAACAATCAGTCTTACAAAATTTAACCTTGATCCCAAAAAGTACTAAAATTACAGTAAAACATCGATTTCAGTTTCTTCTTCCCCCGTCACTAAAATTTTTGGAGCTTTGCTGCAAATGTCCATTTCATTCTGAACCTGTTTCACCTTACTAGATAACTCTAAGAAATTTATATTATTCTCGTAGTCGAACGAAGATAAAACAAATTTAAAGATACCTAAAAACTTTGCAAAATCATCCATAAACACAAACTTCTGACAGCCAGACAAGACTAGTGGTACATGCTTGTTAGAATACGGGAAATCTACGACAACAATCTTCTTACTCGAGTTGTTTCTTTTCATTTCCTCCTTGAGGAAGCTGTATGTCATATAGTCGAACTCATATTCACTATTACCTTCATTCATTGGGGGAATTACATAAACGATATGCGTAGCTCGAATCAAGTTGTCACTACACCATTTTTCACTATTATCCTGTTTGGCAACAGTTGTGTTTAGTGGATCCAACATAGCTTCCACTCCCGTGATGTATTTCACTGCTTTGGCCAATATGGATACGACTTCATTGTGCTTCTCAAACGAAGGTTTGAACAGCACTAAGGCTTTATCGACGGTTTCTGGTAAACCAACTGAAATTTTTACAAAGTTTTGAAGATTTTACCTCATATTGCATAACATATGCACAGTGATTCCTCCACAGGCAAAAAATCCCATAAAATCACGAGTTTATGACTATCTAAATGAGTCGCTAAGTTATCGAATAGGCGCGAGGCTTTTATAAATATGAATAACAATTAGTTCAAACTGTCATTTACGTTCGTCCATCGCAAGTGACAGCTTCTCGAGTCAAATTCCCGGTACGTGTGAGTCATTGCAACTTACTTTTGTTTGTGGATTATAATTCCAAGCCTAGTGTTTTCACGTAGTGATAATATGGAGGTGCAAGAATATGGTATGTAATCTTATTATTTACCTGTTTTATGTAAAAATATGCGTTTTGGAGTTTTATATTTTTTTTTTATTGAAAGTTGTTTTTGCTAGATTTTTTTTCTACAAAATTGATTCATTTCGAATTATAAACTTTTGGCTGCGCCATGCTGCAGCTGAGATAAATGTTATCTTAAAGTAGAGAATGTCTAGATTAGGGGAGGTTCATCTGCATCTTGCTGCCCCTTCTGAGGTTTGTGAGGTGATGAACCATATATGTTCATAGTACAGAAAAAAGAGGTGTTTTCCAAATCCAATTTTGTTGCTGTTTTAGGTCAATTTTTAGATTGTGTTTTACGAAAGTTACCTGTTGGAAAATAGAAATATTGTCAAATCTGTGTTGGATTTGTTAAGTTAATTGTTTCCATTAGTATTAGAGTTTATAATTTTTTTCAATATATTTTGTTTGCCCTTATTATGAACTGTTTTATTTTATTTCTTTAATATAAGGTTGATCTAAAACAATATCTAAAACAAAAATGCTGAGTAACATTTTTAGTACCTACTTGGTATTTCTTTTCTAAAAAAGAATTTTAAAATTGTATTTTCATGTTTGTATAACTGTATTTTAAGGTTTAAAATACAATGAAAAATGTTAAATCTAAGTTGTGTATTTATGGCCGTCCTACTATTGAAGGGGAATCACTGTGATATGGTACCATTTTTTAATTAAGGCACAAAAGTTTTGAAGGGTTTTTAATTATATTATTCTAGACAATCAACTCAAATTGGAAAAGTGAGTTATAAATTGTTTTATCAATAACTATACAATTTCTTTCGATATTGGAACGTGCTTAAAAAGAAGTAAGTATTGGTACTCACTTTCAGTTCTGTGTCTGCAATTCCACATATAAAAACTAAACAGCACAAATGGTATCAAGAAGCTTGCTCCTACGATTCCTATTACTAAGGGTGTACCTTTTCGACCTGAAATATTTACAAAGATCATTCAATTGTTCAACTTCACAACGGTAAATCAGTAGATATAAATTAAAATTATAAAGTTCGGAAAACTCACTGCCAGAAGCTTACGGAACTCTGGTGACTTTGTATGTGCCATCATCACTAATGAAGGATAAAAGTTGGCTATAACAAGTGCGTTCTCATCCCCCTTTAGCCTTGATCTCAAAAGTGTCTGCGTACCTGTCCTAGTTCAGTCACGGACACCGTTTACCCGCAGTTTTGACTTTCATGATCAGCTGAAGCTGCTCGTATTTTTCGTTTCGAAATATACGTCCTTTAATTGTGGCTAACAGTTCTCGACCCATTCTGTGTAAGACTTTTTTTTTCAAATGGGATCTGTCCACAGTACATTCAAAAGTCTTCTAAAGAGCTATACCAGAAAGAGCAACATTTAATGTCCAGGTTTCTACGCCATAAAGCAGAACAGAATGAACCTAATACCTGAATATCCATTAAAATATTGCTGAGACTGATGTCGAAATACCCCAATAATTGGTACATATAATCACTGCTCAACCTTTGACAGAATGTTCCATTCATAATTGTTTCCATAAACTACTCATTTAGCAATATTTGATATGCACGTTGAAGAACCACGCGGATATGTTCATCAAAAGTGAATTACCAATGAAAAGCTTTGCAGTGATGGTTTTTGCACACTTGTCCTCTTCACATCCTTCTCCAATCACAGATATTGCGAAGTAATGGTAACCCTCCTCATTATACGTCATCTGTTCAAAATCCATGACATGCTGTCCGTTGGTAGGAAGCAGACGCACATCTAGAATATGGCCACTACCTCCTGCTCTTTCTCTTATCACTTCCACCTAGATGAAACATAATGATGAATATTTGATATCTAAGAACATCAGCGTATTATATTGTCATGAATGTATACTTTGTGGCAAGCAGAATAAAGCAAGTTCTAGAATGGCCTACATGTCTGTCATTATCTATCCAAAACAGAAATATTTGTGCTTGTTATCTGCAATATAAAAATAAGTGCCACATGACACAGCTTTCACCATATACACTGCGGGTATAATCCCCTAGCCGACAATGTTTCCTTGTTTGTCCACTGTGTACCCGGCGATCGATTTAGATCCCCCACTACGTACATCGTTCCTGGAGAATACTAGATCTAATGCTAATTCTATCTAAACAGGAAAACTTCCCACCACAGATTTATCGAAAACCACTGATTAAAAGGAACAAGGCAAAATATTTGTAAAGGGGAACAACTTTTTAACCAAAAACTACTTCACCCCCTTTCACCCTCGCCCCCCCAGGGTACGATTATCAGCTTGTTTGAAAGGTCTTTCTAAGTCCTTTATTTTAACGTTTGATTTTTTAGAAAAATCCTTATTTGTTCAGATAGAAAACAAAAACACACGAAAATATCACTGTTTATTTCAATAAGTGTTCAAAATGTTGCCCGTTAGGGTTTGCCAAATCGTTTATAATTTAAAACGGAAACTACAGCAATTCGGAAGATTAGACGTTTCAACAACCAAATAACAACTTGAATTTTTATCCTGACCGAACTGTATTTATTGTTATACCTGTTTAGTTATTTGTTGCTAAGGGAAAGCATTTAATTTGCTGTCAGTTACCTTTGTGAGAATCTTGGGATAGTGAAAATTAATTTATTGATTCAGATTTTACTTCCAAAAGGTTTACAAACTAGCCGAAAAAGTGGAAATGGTGCCCAACATCAATGTGCTCGGCAAACTGCCGTCATGTTTAACACCAGACACCCGGGGAATATAACTTCGTATAAGTATGTTTTGGACCTTGTTAATAAATTAACTCAAACTGGATCTGTTGCAAATAGAAAACGACATCATCGGAGACTTTTGGATGAAGCTACTCAAGATGAAATTTTGGGTCATTTTGGAATAAATCCTAATCCTTCATTAAGCAAAACTGTTGCTACGACTGGTATTTCATTAGGCTCTGTACACAGAGTTACTAAACTCCATAAATTTCATACATTCAACATTAAAATATTTCAAGAGTTAACCGAAGATGATTTCGATGGGCGAGTTGAGTTTTGTGGACAAATAACTGCAGCGATTAATGATAATACCATTCATGTAACGAATATTTGCTTCAGTGATGAATGCACATTATTTCTTAAAGGGTTTATTAATAAGCATAACTGCAGGTATTGGAGCAATTAACATTCTCATGCTTTTGTAGAGGGGCATACCCAGTACCCCCAAAAAATTAATGGATGGGCAGGCATTTTAGGAAAAAAGTGATTGGGCCATTATTTATTACTGGAAATTTGAATGGAGACATTTATTCGAATATGTTGGAAAATACCATCAATCCGCTTATCACTGAAATCATTGAAAACCAAATCGAAGAGGATGGAAACCCTATACTTGATGAGGCTGAAATATATTTCCAGCAAGACGGCGCTCCTCCTCTCGATGTTCTTCCGGTTCGCCTGCTAGATCTCCATTTGAGTTTTTTCTATGGGGCCATTTGAAAGCTACTGTTTACTCCCCAACCTGAAAGTTCGAATCAACTTCGGCGACGCATCATTAAAAGCTGCCATGATATCCCACAACATGTTTTTGAAAATGTCCCTCAGGAACATCGCCTATATCATTGTTTGGCCAATAACAGGCAACATTTAGAACACTTATTGAAATAACAAGTGATATTTTTGTGTTTTTGTTTTCCATCTCAGCAGATTAAGATAAATAAAGATTTTTCTAATTTTCTTGAAAACGAATCGACCGGTTTTAAAAAATCAAACGTCAAAATAAAGGACTTCGAAAGACCTTTCAAAAAAGCCGTTACTCGATACTCCTTATCATTTAAAATTTTTAAGGGAATGACCCTGGGGGCAGAGGGTGAAAGGGGGTGAAGTAGTTTTTGGTTAAAGAGTTGCCCCCCTTGACAAATCTTTTGACGTGTCTCGGCGTTTTTTCTCTTAATCCGTGGTGGGAAGTTTTCAAATGAATACCCTGTATAAGTACTAAAAAGGGTGAGTTCACGGTATTTGGGATTTCAATGTTCCGCAATGTTAAGCAAATCGACAAATTGTGAAAATAAACAATCCAAGTAGCGTAAAATCTTATGGTAAGTAACAATTAAGGTTTATGCGCAATACGCTTGAAAATGTACAAAATGTCCCTTAGCGTCCTCCAATCCTGATCTTCCTACCGGTAGTTACCGCCCATCTGACACCGTCGCCCCCTTCCCATATCGACAGATGCGGCAGCTCCCAACGAAGTTTTAATGTATGGGAAGCCTATGATGTGTGAAATGTGGCTAATAGATGCGTAGAATTACCGTATAAATAAAAATAATCATCATCATCAATACTACCCCCACCCCCTATTTTTTCACCTACATTTTTTTCAAAAATGATCAAGACCGATTTTGAAAGATTACAGTTTTTGTGGCCTTGGCATAGTAGTAACGTTGTGTGATAATTTCATCCAAATTCGACCATTATTTTCCAAGTTATAGACGGGCCAAGGATTATCAGACAGACAGACCGACGGAAACGAGTGACATGGTTTTTCATATCATCTGAAACACATAAATTCTCATTTTCAATATTTTTCGCGATTACAATACCTGCTCGTCCAGTGACGTTGGAAGTAAAACGATTATTGAATACAAGTCATAAATCACATACAATAATATAATTAATGTATCTTGTTTCCATTATTTCATTACAATTATCGTCGCAATGCAGTAGGCCTACTGTAGCATTTTTTATTTAAAATTATGAAAACTCCTTTAGTAGTTCTTATATCTGCTGTACCACTTATCTATATACATAGGGCTTCATGCTTTTTTGACAATTTCAGTTTTCTTCTGTTGTTTCAATTAACAACGTTATATCTACTAGTAGATCTAGAATGGTATTATTCAGTCTGACGAATTATTGCCTAAGGTTTCGTATACCAGGAGACAGGCGCGGTACAGGCAATACTTTTACACGGATCTTCAGATGACTAATTATGGCTCTCAGTGAGAGAGGAAGAGAGGATTATTAAAAATTATGACAACTATATTGAAGTGGCCCCTTTCATCACAGCTTTGAAATCTTTAAAGAAGTAATAACACATTCATAAACACTATTATATAAATACTGACATTCGATGCTATGTACTCGTTTTTTATTAATATTAATTCTACATTAAGGCTTAGTGTTATGTATATTTTTGTCGTATTTGGAATCTTTTCCTGTAAATAAATAAATTATCTACGGTAAGCTCACAAATACAGAGGTACTGTATTCAGCTCTTTAAGTTGAAATTGGTATATAGAAGGACATAGTATTCCGGTCATAACATGTTTCACCTGTTTCCATAACTTGCAATAAATAAATATCACCTAAATGAATTAATAACATTGCTAGTTTTTTGCTTGCTGTATTCAATATGTTAATAAACTCTTTTGGGCACTCACCTTATAATGATGAACTTTATAACTTTTAGGCAATGGCTGAAGTTTAAGAACAATCTTATGGGCATTAGTAAAGTCTATGTATGAGAAAATTTGTCGCTTTGACAACGGCGTCGTATCAGCTAAAACAAAATATATACTCTGTATAAGCCAAATAGAACAATAAAGTTTTTGTGTTATAAATAGTACATTTGTATAAATATATTAATAATAGCCAAACAATACTGCTCAAAATACATGAGAAAGGGGGTAAAGAAGAATTGGCTGGATCTCCTTGTTAAATATCTCTATGTGCAAAACATTCTAAAATGAACAGTTTTTGAAGCATGAAGAGGCACACAGAGTTCGTGAACACAGACCAACAGACATGTACCAGTGCATTATACCATTCTTCTGTACCCACTTTCTTGTAAGCTTTGTGAAGGTTCATAAAATTCTTACCAAAATACTCAGAGTCTGGGATGTCAAACAGGATTTTCCTATGAGCATAATACAAACTGCTTTCAGCTTTAAATTCGATGACATAGGATCTAGAATCCTTATCAGTATTTGTCCTCCAACTACAGCTGTAATACAGTTCGTTGATAGATAGCTTTTCACTTTTTCCTACAGTGAACAGCTTGCAAATACTAGGGTCTACATATTCAGACAGTCTGAGATATGCTCCTAGAAATTAACAGAATCTTTGAGAACAATTTATTGTGATTCTAACAAGCTCCATACTTAGTGTGTTCATAATAAATGGACTGATTAGTACCAACTGAATAACTATACATTAGCCTCACATTTTTCCATAATTTTTATTTGAGTCAGCACTTTTCAGTGGAGAAATTAATTAAGTACATATCAGGAAGTCTAGTAATGATAGCTTTTATGAAAGTCTACTCACTTTTCCATTTTACATCTGGAAGTGTCAAGTTCATAACCAGCTGACTAGTTATATTGTCAGTCTTGAGGTGTAAAGAGATTTGCCCAAAATTATACTTGAGATTCTCATTACTGGCAAAGCCTACTTGAGAACAGTCTCTTGAACGAATGGTAGTAGTTGACTTAATACTACAATAGTTCGATACATTCAACTGAGTCTGAAAAAATAAAGTACAAATATTTGAACTTCCCAAAATTCCAAAATGTTAGAAAAAGGATATGAGTAGTATCAAGGGTTAGTAGACCACATCTTAACAGTGTATCTTTATGTTATGTGTTGGGATAACACCTGCATTATACAGGTATGCCTGAAAGTATTCACAAAAAAACATTACAATTTGTACCGTGGCTATTAGAAACAATCAAAAAATGTTGATGTTAATAACAAATATAATTTTCAAATTCTTTCTTGATACCCTAATAATCCAGAAATGCCCAGTCCACTCGGTTTTGAGATATACAAAGCACAAAATCAAATTGGAATGAAAATCAAAAACCAAGTTAATTTGATCTAGCACTCTCATAAACAGAATGCAGTGCAAGCACAGTGAGTTAATTCTCCTATGTGCTAAGTCACATCTAAAGAGTTATGCCCACAATGTACCTTGGTACCACCAATATGCCAATAAATATAAAAGCTATATTTTGCAACTATATTTGAAAGCTATTTCCTCAACACTTTTTGTTGACCATTTCATTTCTGAATGCTAGGTAAGTAGACATTGTCAATGAAAGATGTAGGGACATTAGTTTTTACAAACCTTATTACAGAAGAGATTTTCCTCATAGTCACATAGTTGATAAGAATATGTAATTTCTGTCATAAGCAGATTCAGAAATAAGGTAAGCAACATTTTCTCGTTCTCCTAGTAGCTTACTTTACATATTTTTTATTAATTCGTAGTTATATGAGCTATGCCGGGAGTGCAAATAAGCAGTAGTAGAGCTTTCACTTATTTTGTGCTAAATTTAGACCGGCAAATAACAATACGCACATATGATAAATATGTAAAAATAAACAGTGCCTTTTGTATCTGTAAATTATACTTCAGCGCTTGCGTACTTCGTTTATCTCTTTCCGTCTATTACGGTCCTGTCTACTCCGCGTTCAGGCAGATGACAGACACCTACATGAACTACTTCCAGTGGCGTACTAAATGCTGGTACAGGTATCAGAACAATACTTATACAGGGTGTAAACTGTAAACGTTATGGTGGTCATTACTGAAATGGGTAATAGGGGAGGTCAAAACAAATCAAAAAGTTCATATGACCCATCGTCCAAAAGTCAATAGATTTTTGTCTAAATGGGTTTATAGTTTACAACTTTAAGTGCTTTATATCGACCACAATCACCACAATCTTACTAATTTTTATAATCTAATCTAAAACGTTTTTAAATTGGGTAATTAACAAATAAATGGCATTGAGTTTTTCTAAGTTAAGCCAAAATTTGTAGTCAGTGAGTAAGAAAATTTTATTAAATTAAATATTTAAAACACACATGACAACAGCGTGTCGGTCATCATCACTCTTATCGAACCGGTAATCGATCGCAAACGGTATCAGTGGTTAGTATGTTGTTTTGTTTTTGTTCGCGTACGTCGTCGTGTTGATTTATAATGTTTTCGAATCAAGAGTTCGCCGACATGTTAGTTTACGGGGAAGCTCGTCAGAATTCATATCTTGCAGCTCAAATTTATCGCGACAGATTTTGCCAACGGGTACACCCAGACAGAAGGACATTTGTGCAAGTGTACCATAGACTTCGAGATACAGGAAGTGTTCAGCCCACTAATATTCGCACTCGTGAAAGACAAGTTACTGTAGAGCAGGAGGAACAAATTTTAAATATCGTGGAAATCAATGCAAATATTAGCACTCGGGAGTTAGGCCACCGCGTAGGACTATCGCATACCATAATCCATAGAATCCTACGGAAAAATTTGCTTTATCCCTACCATGTACAACGAGTACAGGCTTTGTTACCAGAAGACTATCCTCGCAGACTATAATCAAATTCAGGCGGATAACCAAATGAAAATGGTATTTACCATTTTGGGTTGGTATTTACCGATCCGTTCAAGTGAGTGTGGTTATCAGTTTGGTTATAAGATCCGTGACGTCATGAATCAGCTGTTATATATGTCACAGTTATCACCGCAAAATAGTGGTATTTACCCAATTCAGAAGTAGTTTTATATTTCTGGTTATTATTTGAAATGTGGCAAGTTAGAATTTTGCCGGGTATTGGATATTATTATTGTACTTCAGCTTCATTTTTGGGAAACTTGATACAGGCTGATTCCAGTGTTATCATAAAGTGAAGCACCTTATTAGTTATACTCATTACTGTTGTTGGGAACACTTTCAATCTAGTTCCTATGTTTAACAAAGTATCCTGCGTAGCCATATACCACAAGAGTATTAAAATATGGCGATTTAACATACTGGATGATGTCCACCTGTATACGGTTTTGCTAATATCTTTTTTCATAGTTTTTTCATCATTTCTGCTAAATCAATAAATGTTTTCTTTGACATGCGGAAAACTTTAGAGAATTGAAAGTTATCATAGCTACAAAACCATGGTTCCATTATTAAAAAAAAAATTCTGAAAAAAAAAACGTTTCTCCCACGAATATTATGAAAGGTTTCTTATTTAAACTTTCCATACACCGTTGTAGACAAAAAAGCACCGATTATTAAGTGATAATAAAATAATCAGAGATTATATACGCACTTTTCTAAAATAAACAATGAACATTATCCAAATCGCTGGATCGGTCGAAATGCTCCTGATCCTTGAAAATGGCCAGCAAGATCTCCTGACCTCAATCCGATGGACTTCTGGTATTGGGGAGAACTTAAAGGGATAGTTTATGGGGCTGGTCCAATAACAACTGAAGCACAACTTCGCGAAAAAAAATTAATGCGGCTTAAATACAAAAAAGGTGCAGTGTGGGTTTTAAAAACAAAAACAATGTATGTATCAAAATTGTGTTCCCTATTTATAAGTGGATTTTTTTAATACGTTCAATAAACTTTCACACACCAGGTGAAGCGTCCGTTTTTTTAATTGTTTGCATTTTACGAGTACATTATCAAATAATGAAATAATACCTAAGACCCAAAAATAACAAACTCCATCTTTATTTACACTGCGTTCCGTCGTAATTTGCGGCGTTGTCAGATTGTTTTTTACTTTAAAGTCGCTTTTCTCTAAAAAATGCGGTTTTGACCTCCATGTTATATGAAACTTTTTGCTTCTTTTAACCCCCTCTATCACCCATTTAAATAATGACTATCATAACGTTTACACCCTGTATATCTATTGTCTAATCGGTTGATTGGTGAGAAATTATTGGCCGAATACGTATAGATAGAAATTCTTAATAAAATATTTTTCTATATTAAAGAGCAAACTGAACTAATCAAAGTTTGAGATCAACTTACGTTACAGAGTAAAAATATGCCCTTTTCTATTTCAAGTAGTTCTTTTCTATTTGAAGAGAATCTGCCTGAATTAGCAAAGCAAATAACAGTTTATGAATGTGTTTTTCTGCGTTCTCTGCCTAATGCCGGTTTGCCTGCTCCTCGAACAATATGCCGGGTTTGGAAGTCAATCGCTCATATGCATTCGCTTCTACATGGAGGCCAGATGTATACTTTGACAAACTTTTCCGACCATATTAGACATTTTCTGGCAACAAATTTCTGACGGTTATGGATGGTTGGAAACAGAACCAATTCAGTTTGACGTATGGATTTGAGTGCCACTTTTTTGACAAGTCGTTTGGTCAATTGAATTTGACGGTTGCACACCGTTTCAAAACCTCTGCTAGAACATGGCTATTGCTTACAGTTGACTACCCATCATGCAAGGCATTTTCACTTAAATGTCTAGTGAATGTTCATGGTTCAAGATGTTTGCTTTTGCTACCTCGTTCAAACAGCTGCAAACATTTTTGTGAATTTCTTGCTAGGTGTTGGCGTACCTTGTCTATCGCTGAAAGAATCTTCACAATATGAAAAGTTCCCCTACGAGCCCTATGGATCGGCTCGGCTATCTTGCCGAGCGGTAACGAATCGGATATTTGATTATACGGCCAATTCATTATCTGCCGACATTGAAATGTATGACCCCTTTGAATTGTGCTAAATGGCCGACCATGAATGTAACGGTAATCGGCTAACGGAAACATTCAAAACGCGCATGATATGCTGTTACAAGATGGATATGTAGAAATGCAAGAAACTTTTATGCATACTCAATCTGAAAAAACGAGTTGCTTTAAAAAAGAAACTTTGAGCAAGTTCACAGATGGCGCATTATTTCATCAGGCAGGCTTTGAATTTGTAGAGTTCCCACTTCGTTCATGGGCGCCCGCAAATTTAATGAGGAATTGCATTAAATATAGCAACTTGACATATGTCAATCCCGAGTTATTTCACATGTCTGCTACATCACGCGCTGCGATCGATTTGACAGTCACCACTACCCACTTCGCACCTCTCCAAGCCTTCGTGAGTTCGTTGTGCGACTGCGTCGAAAACAAATGACAGGTCAGGAACATTTATCTGGCACTTCGAAACATTTTGAGTAGAGAGGGGGTATCAGGGTATTCAGGTGAGAGTCGTGAGAAGTGTTGTTGTGAATCTGTGGGTCTCAGAAAATTGACAGAAAAAACGAAAACAAACGCCCAGATAGTGTTGTCGCCACGCTGTCTTGTTAAAAAAGAGTTGTGCGCATACTTCAAAGTGTATCCAAGGATTTCTGTTGTAGTTGCATTCGGAACATATCAAAATCGTCCTAACCGCGATTAAAGGTTTTTTGTGTTTTGGTGATGTAAATCACCGATTTTTATTCCGGACAGTCTATATAGGCAGCAAATCTGGCGACTGAAATCAGATATAGGATTGGAATGAGACTGATCTTGAAAAAATTCATCATCCACACATCCTCAGATCATTTTTCAGAAAAACCCTACACGTATTTTCTTTAGTTTATACTTGTTTTTTTTAAATTTATATTAACCAATATTGTACATTCGGAGAGTTGTAATTCACGCGTGTTACTCACTCTACAAACCAATCGAAAGTGTTCTTTCCAAAGAATTAATATTTCGCAGAAGAAATGGAGTCCAAGTCTACTCAGTCCTCTGACATGGAAGAATGCAAAGGTATGTACCTATCAAATTTGAATACTGACGGGAAACTAAATATTGTGCAATCAATACAATATAGGATAGTAAACACATAGTAGGTATATTTAAAATCATATGGTCTTAAAAAACCGAAGGGAGTTGGTAAAACTGGTGGGTGTTTATAGTTATTATAGTATTTGGGTATAAAAGGGCTATTGGCAGTTAGGCACTCGCTTACAATTCAAAAACCTTTGTTGTCTAGCTTATTTCATCATAAACATGGAGGTATGTAAAAATACAATCCACATGCACAATACATACTCGTAAAATGGAAAATCAGTAAAATATCTCATTGGATTTTTTTTCAACAAATTACATAAATAAGATGATTTATTTTTTATATTATATTAAATCCCTAAATTACACACACAGACACATGTTATGGTTTAGCAACTTTGACAGGATTAAATTACAATTACAGTAACAGAATAATTTTTAAGTATTTGTTGTTGATTACAATTATATCTCAGTAAACAAAATCACTTCGTTCTAATATTGTCTGCTAATAGCAGTATAACATTCTAAACATGTGTGTAAATAACATCCTGCACATCAATAGAATGTGCTAAGAATGTACTACAAACCTCAATTAGGAGCATATATCACACATCCTAAGAATTTGTTGCAGCACATTCTAAGAATATTCTCATCAGGTGATTTGGCAAAGTCCTATACAATATCCAATGAAAATATGTTCTAAGAATGTGCCTTTCCAGATCTTCACATGTTCTAAGAATAGGTATTCTTATCAGGTGATTTGGCAAAGTCTTTCCAGAGAGCACACATATACATGTCTATTGGATATCCTCAGTGGATATCCAGGATATTCACTGGTATGACATATACATTACATTCAATGAATATCATTTGGATATTCAGATGTCTGCCAATATCCAAGAAT